CGAAGGGAGGTCTTGTAATGGTCTCAAGAGGTCTTGACTACAACACAGCCGGAAATCTGACTTTTTTTCACTTCAATGAGAAGTGTGAACTGTCCCTGGTTCTGACAGCTAAAAGTCTTAACTCAGAAAAACAAAAATGCTACACAGATGAAATTTTGTCATCAAACTATTTTGTTTTAACAACATATACGTCCAAAAGTTGAAACTACCACAACGAACATGCGGGAATCTTTAGTCACTTTTAAAATTCCAATCATTGTGAATTTTCTCGGGTTGAGGGCTAGGGTTAGAGGCGGTGTCCTGAGCTTACCATGTGGACCTCCTGTAACAACGTCTGGTAGTTGGGAACAAGCTGAGACAGTGTCTTGTCCACTGAGCTAATTTGTGCCCGAACCTGATAGGCAAATCTGCAGTGGTGAACAACACGTCAAGCACTTATACCATCGTCACTCAAGTCAGGGTATTACCCAGGTATTTTGTGGCTGTGGTCATTTCTCAATAGGGCTTTGCATAATCGATTTCGGGGAGGAGATTGTGACTTAGCCAAACTCATAGCAACCATGGTTGGGAAACTGTGGGATGCTGAACGAGTCAACGATTATTTTTTATGGGGAGCCATATTCATTCTTGCACAAAACCTTGCTCCATGCACACTGCACTAACAGCATTGAAGTGACATACGTGGAGGGTTGGGTGGGTAATTCTTGAGACAGAAGCTGTTCTCAAGTGCTGTTATCAAATCATCACAATTTAATACCATTAATCATAATTTAATGGTGATACACCATCTGCTTTTCAAAAAGATTTTGCAACAAATTCTACAATGGAAGCACAGCAAAAGTAGTGCTACAGTTGAGACAATCAAAGGACCAGTCTAGACCAGGCACAAGACCAGTCACAAAACTAGTCACAAATAACAGGGCGAAACCATGACAACTGAATGCTTCTACTGCAGATCATTTCAACAACTTGTGACTTGATTTCAGACTGGAGGTCTTGTGTTAGTCTTGTGGGGTCTGGCGACAGTCATAAGAAGTCTCGACTTCAACACTGACTGCAAGCGATACTTACTTGTACCATTCGCCCAGTTCCCCATGGATTTTTTTCCATACCATCTCGCAGTGACTCTGGCACATCGAAATAGCTTGGGTACTTTTCAAGCTCAGTTTTTCTCTGTCAAAGAAACCAGAACAAAAGCAAAAAACACAAGACTGACAGGTCAGACCTGGTTTCTTAGAGCTGGCTAATTCGCCAATCTTGTCAAACTTTCTGTTTACAAGGCTGCAGGCCTGGCTGAAATACTTGGCCGTCAATAGATTTTGTCTGTCAGACTAGAATGGCCACCAGACAGTAATTCACGTGGGTGTAAATGTCCATTAATTGAAATAACGAATTTTTGAAGATTTTTGAAAACTGAAAATCTTGAAAAAGTCCCGATTATGTGTACTGCATTTTTCAAAACCACCCGGCAGCAAGTGGTTAATAGCAGATATCCTGTCATTATACAACAGTTGCATCAGAATATTTTCCACAATAATTATATTAAAAACTTGATAATTGGAAGAAACTAAAACAAAAAAAGAAGGAAAACAGGTTGTACTCACTTGTCCATTTTATGGATCTGCTCTTCGTTATAGCTCAAATGTTTCTTCTGTTTATCTTTCTTGAACTGGACGTAGATTTTACTGGCATCCTCCGTAAAATATGCAAACCTTTTCACGCTGTCAAACAGGGGATACCAAGTTAGAAAAACAATATAATGCTTAATACCAAGTGCACTGAATTATCTCTGCCATGATCACTGGGCATTTCAACTCTTTAACTAAAAGGTATAAATGCTGAACTTCACATCTAAAACCACGAGGAAGTCAGCAGAATTTCAACAACTAATGAAAAATTACTGGTTTCTCCATCAATTGCCAGTGGGCCAAGTTGAGATATACTGTGTAAGGACATCACAATTTGGGTTGCATATGGATACTGAATCAGGCACAACCCTGAGCCTGGTGCCCATGTATCAGACAACGGAAGAAACATCTCCACAGTGTCTCACAAGTACCTCTTCTTACGACTAAAATGAAAGTGTAAGCATGCACTGAAAGTGAAATGTGATACCTTTGCAAGCTATTTTCCGGCCACGATTTGTTTTGTTTTTAGATAGGGAGTACAGGCAGTATTAAACCCATCAAATTTGATTTGGACATCCGGGATGGTGAATGGCGCCCTCTGCCGTTCCTGATCATAGCTAATGACACTGGTGAATTAAAGGATCCATGTAAAGCAAGTTTTTAAGGCGAATCTAGAAAACACACATTTGTGTCTCCGTTTGTCTTATTTTTAAATCATTAAGGGGTATTTTGGTACTACATGTATTTGGGTTTTATGCTTCTGCAAATTTCCATATTCATGAGTAAAGCTGTGATGTCATTCTGGGCAGGAAACCTCAATGTTACACTACTTTGTGCACAGAAATTGGTGGACTTGTTCCTGATCAAATGTCCTTTCCTTTGGCGATTCATTGTTGAGTACAAGACAAGTGAGCCTTTCTTACACATTTTCTCAATGAGCAAATCTTTGGGTTCAAAATTTTTACAGAAAGACATACAATGAGCAGTGTCTTCCCTGAATGATGTTACTGCATAAGCACCCTAAGTTGTCTGGAAAAGCAGTTTCAAATGCTAGAATATGTACTAATTGCCAAGACAAAACTTCTGTCATACCCTGAACAGTATAATGTTGCACAGAAAGCATATCCACTACATATTCATTGCATGAGCCCTTTAAGTGCTACAACTCAGCTCTTAATTGGAATCTGGGCCTGATTCTGTACCATGTGTGACAGGGTTTTTCTGCAGGCTTCCATTTTGCCGTCAACAGGTCACCGTCGATGATGTCCTTCCACAGCGTCTGCAGCAGATTCTTCGTTCTGTCATACTCGTCGAACATCTGGTTCAAGGTTTTTCAAGTAAAGGACAGCTGTTATCTCAACAAAAATGGCTTCAGAACAAAATGCTTTGTGCGAGTTCCTTACTTTCGTGTGTTTTTTTCATGAAACGTCTTGCTCAAAAGGGCAAGGAAAAGCTTTGTGCTTTTTTATTTTATTCCAAGAACTGGACACCCACACCACTTCTCCGACAATCTGATACCCATTTAAGTGAAAGTTGGGCTTCCCACTGCGCTGTTAATCATTTTTATGAAAACGGCACGTTATAAATTTTCAATGATTATCATCATCAATTATTATTTAAGAACGAAGCTTGTCAAACAGCATCTGCATCATCGGATCATGTCAGCACTGTCAAGATGAAACTTGATGCAATACATTTAAAACAATAATTAAAGTATTATTCAGATCCACCGCCTTCCCCAGTTGTCACACTAGCACAGCACGGTAATATCCCTCTTCCAATTCATTATTCCAGTAAGTATACAGCTATCTATGATAGACAAAAACAGCATGACAGATCACAACAGCCCAAAGAGCAAACAACTTGACTGTTTTATTAAAGACTGGTGTTAAAAGATGCTATGCAGAGATGATTTTATGGAAAAAAAAGAGCACTCACTCGAGCCGATTTCTGTCTAAGGAGGGTTACTTTGTCTTGATGATCCTGCAGCCGAGTGCAGAGCACTGATGACAGGGGCATCCTGGAGAACACTGCCGATGACACCAGAGGCGAGGGCAGCGTTTTCTCGATGCTCAGAAGCCGGGTGTCCACCTCCACAATGCTGGACCTGAGCTTCATGCAATGGTAGTCCAACTGCTTGATCTCAGCTTTCAGGACAGATCTGTTGATGCGTGGACAAATAAAAGTGTCTTGATTTTCATATGAATGGGCACAAATTGTCAGTGCTCTTACATGGGCTTTAAGTCAAAGCAAAGTCAGGTTGGTACATGCACAGTGGTTCTTTTTTTATCTTTCACCTCTGCGACTCGGGTTCGAATCCTACCCCAGGGCCACCGCGCGGATTGGGTTTTCTGTCAGTGCCTGACTCCGTGGGTCAACCCAAGAATATTTATCTGAGGTTTTCCTCCCACCTCTGAAACTAAGGGTGGGGTAAATATGCCAGGAAAACATGGACAGGTGCACCATATATGTATATTTACCTTTCACCAATCTAGAACCATTAGTATTCCCGAAAGGCAATCGACTGCTGCAACAGCTAACTACTTGACATACATATACTTACACTATTGCCTTGGAAACGGTCGTCATGAGCTCCTGCATGTAGGTAAGAGTCTTCAACCACGCTAGCTTGTAATACAGAACAGCCACGCACATCTGCAACACAACAGACAAGTGCACACAGGCCATCGTGACACACTGCTCTGTTAATGGAGCTAGCTTGGATTAAACGTGCAATATGGAAACCAAAGGGGTTTCTAAACATGCAGTTTCATTTAGGGATTAATTTCACAAATGGCAGAGATTTGTTCAAAGGGAGACAGAAATTCAGTTATCTTTACTGCTGTGTCATGGGACAGTGTTACTTTCACAGGTCTAAAATGGTCATGTGTTAAGTATGTTAAACTGACTATGCCACTGTCCAAATACTAACTTGCACTAACTTGTTTAGTCACTGCGGCAAAGCTTACAGTGCATGCAGCATGAGATAAAGTGCATTAGACTTTGCAGGACAGACCCTGCTTTGCAACATTTTAGGTAGGGCTGTGCCGAATATTCAAATATTTAATCGATTACCAAATATTCAAATATAATTTTCCAAATTTGAATATTTACATGCAAAATTCATGAAAAGAAAGGGAGAGGTTTTTTTCTTTTAAATGAGACAAATTGCACTATGGAGGCTTTTTCAAGCAGATTCAAATGAAAAGTGACCGAAATCTTACAACAATTCAAAAGTTAAATTATTCATTAAAAAATTTTAAAGGAATAGAAATTTTCGACAGGCAAGAAGTATTGTTCATCTCTTAAATCTTGCTAAATTATGGCTGGAGATACACCTAGACGTGAGAAGCTATTGTAAGGAATACAATGTACAACTGTGTGTGTTATTACAACTGATTATATGGTTTGTTCATCAACAATCTGCCGGTTGGTACAACCAAATATTTGGATATTTGATCGCATTGAAGGTCAAATATTCGCATAGCATAGTTTACGGTGACTTTAAATCATGTGACCGTCATCTATGGTGGGTAGGAGTCACTCTGCCATGGACTGTTACCTTGGACATTGAGAAATCTTTGTCGAGGTCATAGGTCGAGGTCATCTTGGGTAACTTGGCTGTGTGTAAAAATTGAAGGCAATCTAGGGGTCAGTTTTGCTGTTTTTAGTTCTCAGGCTGCCTCTTTTTAATTCCACAGTCCTTAATTTTGTCTGACCCTGTTTTTGACTCCCGACCAAAGAAAAAAACACAACTTTATTTACTCCGCCAACCCTGTCTGCAACATGGTAAAAGTGAAAAACAAGCAGGGAAAAGCAAGAAAAGAAGGACACTCTCTCAAAATTTTACAGAAGAAAATGCAGATATAATGTCTACTATCACATACCAGTTGGACAAACATTATTTATTATTGTTACATGTTGAGTGCACACTTTGTTCATTTCATGTATCTCATCAAAGTGGCTAAAAATGGTTTTATTCTTTCTACTTACCTAAAAATCAATCAAATAACATCTAATTCAGAATAACACTATCAACCGTTCAACACTTTTGCATTAGTTTATTTATCCTACACCTGTGTTCACAGTATATTTTTTCCCCAAGATTTTCTTTTTTTGTGGGGGGGCTGACCCAACTGCCAAAAAGATATGAGAACCATAGAATTTAAACGGGACATCCTCACCACAAAAAACGGAGAAAACAGACAGACAATTTGTGGTTGGCTGTAGAATCTGCCATAGCCAACTGGGCAGAAAAACCTCCGAAACACAGCAACATTCAATAAGCATAAAATAAATCCATCCGCCATGGAAAAATTTGCTGACATTTAAATGCAAAAAGGGCCTCCTCCTCCCTTTGTTAAAAAATCCAGATGAGAAGCTCTTCTAATAGTTGGCCTCATGGAATCTAACCTAACCAAAGTACAGCAAGGCGGATGATACTAGTAGAAATACTGCTATTTAAAGACCAACTGGCATTGCCTAATCCCTTCTCTACAAATAAAGCTTCTACTTACGTTGAGAGGGCATCGAAACTGGCGGGAAATCATTCCTGCCCAACTCTAACAGAATCAGGGGGCTCTGCGGGCTGGTCTCGGGGTAGGACTCGCACTTGAGCGAGGCGTCCGGCACAAAGCAGTCCTGGTCCCAGACCAGGCCCTGGGCCGAGGCCTGCATGCCTGTCTGCTCGGCCACCGCCTCCTGGAACTCGGCCAGCGTGCCCCGGGGCTCCACATAGATCTTGAGGCACTCTGACTGCGAGGCGTGGAACACGTCCACCGCCTTCATGGCCAGTAGGCTCTGGACCTCGTCGAAGAACCGGTTGAAGGTCCACATCTTCTCCGGGTTGCACTCCAGGAGGCCCCTCAGGATTTTGGTCAACAGAATCTTCAGACCACTTCAACGAGCAAAAAAGGCAAGTGTACGTTAAAGAACAGTACTTGTGAATGGTGGTATGTGCTCCTTTGAGCTACATTTCTTATACTAATTTTAAAGCATCAAAAGATATAGTTCATAGTACAATAGTTTTCGCAGAAACAGCCAATTTGGAGTTTGTTTCGTTTTAAAAAACTAGTTGTTTTGCTTATCGGGGTATCCATTTTTGGATGGAAGAAGTATCACAAAAGTATCAAGTGTAACAATAAAAATTAAGATTGACCGTAAACTTGCTCAAGAGTGGAAGTAACACATTTGTCAGTAATGAAAATAACAATGATGCAAAAAATAACATTTAACAGTTCCCAAAGAGCACATTAATAACCGTTGTGTAAATGATGCCTGTTCAGTGTATTAGGGTGACATGGTATTTGGTTCATCGTTTAACTGGATCACATGTGAATCTAGCCGTTTCCCCTCAGAAGGTGCAAGAGGACAGCAAAAAGTAAAACTATTAAACCAAAAATCGCAAGCATTCCATGCAGAAATGTATTTTTCAAAAATGTTGGAAGAAGCAAAGTCCAGCCTGAAAAGGGTACAGGTGGATGCTATAGACTGTAAGAACACTTCTTTTATTTCAATCTGGCTCTATCCGACTCACTGCTTGCTCCTTTAATTACTCGTAACGAATTCTTCATTCGTGAAAATTAACATACATGTACGAAAAGAGACGTTCAGCCAATTAAAGCCACAACAACAAAAGAAATGATGAATCAATTGAGAATTAATTGCTATGTACGATTGCGAGCCTACAGTCTGCTACCCTACCAGGACAGTCTACAAGTGTTGGGTAGCTCTGAGCTCCACTCTATGGGCCCATTCATGGAATCTTTCTGAACTCCAGAAATGACGCCAGACTTCTTCTTGGTGGTTATTTGAAACCTGCACATCAACACAAAAGAACGTGCCGGAGTTAACGACAATAATCCCAGGCACGTTGACAATAAAAATATGTTGTCCTTCACGTCGCATTACAAAGAAGTTTCATCTACGAAAGACCACTAACAATTTCACGAAACAGCAAAATGAAATGAACAAATGAAAAGGCCAATGAGGAGGTGGGAATGCCTCGACACTGCTTTTTTTAAAACACATTTTTCTTTATTTTGCAGCCAAACAATAAATAAATAATTCTGTGTCAAATCAAGAACATTTAATTTGCTTTCCTGGTTAATAATAGCGAAGTTTTTTAAAGGAAGCATTCAGCTCAACTTATTTTCACACACAGGGCTACAACGTTCGTGTTACAAAAATACAAACAAGATCTAAACAATTTTCTTATTGGAAGGACAAGAAGCTGGCAGTTTTTTTTCATTATATTTCAGAGGGTGCACTACTTGTCAACGGGTTGTATCAACACAAAAATTTGTCCTTCACTTAACCCTCACAAAGTTTTAAATTAATTGACCACGACTGATGTCCAAACAAGCTACGTGTACATGTACATAACGGGATAAACAAGTAAAATGTGGAACTTTCTCCAGGAAAATGTGGACGGGTGTAATATATTTGGACACAGAGCTATGGAGCCACTGCCATGTTGTCCTGATGACATCACACCTTAGCTCTTGAATCAGATTGCAAACAGTTGATGTACAACTTCCTAATAGTCTGGTGACAATTTGTGCCTGATTCTCTTGTGGTTAAACCTGGTTCCTCTGCTTAATATTCTTGGAAATAGACACAAACACAACAACATTGACAGGATTTCTGATACTGTAAGTATCAGTTCTCACTGGATACTGTACAGTTGAAGTCATCAATACATATTTGAATTCCTGGCCGGAAATGTGGAGAATCCATTGAATTTAGGCTAGCAACTTTTCACTTGTTGTATGGCACATAGGATGAAATTTGGCAGAGCAAAGGGTCGAAAAAAATGAAACAGTACTGTCAACAGGTTTTCTGCATGCTTTCAGTATTTTTAGAAACACTTTGATTTTTTTTCAGCGAACTCAAAACAGGGAGTTGTGTAAAAGATAAATATGTTACATTACAGGGTTTTTCAAAACACTAAAACTCCTGCAATGGGAAGAAACAATGAAAATTTACTTGATTTGTTTTTTCTAAAACCCTTTCATTCAGCAGGTTGGCAATCCAACTTATAAAATAGTCGGCCTTACATTGTCTCTCTGTTCCTTCTACCGCCGTACGGCCTGAAGGGCAGAACGCCAGTCGCAACGTGGTAAAACGTCACCCCGATGCTCCACAGGTCAATGCGGGCCGAGAATGTTTTGCCCGTCGGCTGTCTCAACACGGCACGCTCGTATAGGTCTGGATGCTGAAAAACCAACCAAGATTTGCTTATGGTTGTATTCACTCTATCACATTTATGATCACTGGACGTCCATGCATATCTGATGAGCCGGTAGCAGCACTGGATTGCAACTTGAACATACTATGGGCCCAAGCAGGCAACATATACTGTATAAATGTTGCCTGATTATCAAAATTCAGTAAACTATTAACACCCATCTGGTAGGCAGGGTTGTGTTGGCACCATTCCCCCTTTCCGAATCACTTTTTCTCCATTTCTACAATAATGTGACAGAAACAAAGTTTTGACGACATTTTACATCCCCTCCAAAGCACGTTACAAGTCCCCAACTTAGCGGTCCTCCCACCACAAAAATTTAGTTCTAGATCAGCCCTTGTACAACACTGTGTGAAATGATGAATGTCCTGGCTTAAAGCAGAATTGGTATAGCACCTGCATCAATGACTTGATAGTCACCAGAAACATGAGCTGCTCAAATGCTCAAACGTCTACGGAGGATGTGGGAACTGGTTTCGAAATCAACAATTTTACAGAAAGGAGAACCACCAGTGTCCACACATCAGGCAGCAAAAAGGCTAATTACACAGGCAATCTTCAAAGTTTACATAATTTTTCAATTTAATTGGGAACTTTTCTTCAGTTAAAAAAATGGTCAAGTAGCACAGTACCAAATACTCTTCAGTTCCGTAAAGAGACATAAAGTTCTCATCATCCTGCAGTTCCCGGGCGGCGCCGAAGTCAGCCAACTTGTAGACTGTGTCACCGCAGTCATCAGTCACTATCATGATATTGCCAGGCTTGATGTCACGATGGACAATATCCAAGTCCCTGAGATGCTTCATGCCCGCACCTTAGCAAGAAGAGGGCAACATACAAACAGTCAATCAATCGACAAACCAACAACCAAACCGACACTTAAACCTTCGTCTTTTTACCCATGAAAGACATTTTGCTCTGATCTGTTGATGAAGTTAGACTTTTAAGGCGCTATACCTCCAGTACATATCCCTTCAGGACTGGTATATTATCTGCATAATTGACTTCTAAACAAAAAGAAATATCCGAAGCGGTAAGCAAACAATTTACGGGTAAACAGGCCTGGGCCTATTTAAACAAATCCCTTATTAGATCGTCAGATGTTTAATTCAATCAAAACTCAGCCTTCACTATTACAAGAAGGAAGAAGGAGTTCAAAGAACAAAACTTTTTCAAATTTATATAATCTTTACAACAGCTTCCCTACAACTACCGGTAAGATAGAAGGCAGCAATTCAACAAAGGACTGATTTTTTTTTTAAGGCAAAATAAAATCTCCGAAAAGGTCAATCTTTTCTTTTTCATTTAATTCAAAGTCCACGTTTCCATTACATACAAAATTTAATTGAAAATCAAAAGAATATTTGAACATGTGAACGTGTAGTGCAACCTTAATTCGAGGAATTCATGATTGTCCCACTTTGCAGGAACCCAAACCTTATGGGCAGGGGATCCCCACAAATATTGGCCGACAACGCAATCTAAAGTTGCTTCACAATAGTCTTCCCCAGAAATTACAAAACCTATCAGGATGTAGGAACCAACCCCCTCCACCACAATCACTCACACCCATTTATTCTGACAAGAATATGAACAAGGTCACAAAGCACAGTGCATTTCAGCACAATGACATCAATCAAAGTAGCACCTCTGCCAATCTTCGCTTTATCAGCATAAGAAACCACATAATTAAACTAGAATTTGCTTTCACAACATTTTAAGAAAGAGTCAATGCCAGGTCCGTTCAAGTGATTCATAATATCCAAGGATAAATTTCAAAGGCAGAGTGAAAGTACAAGGAGTCAAAAGTATAAAGAAAAGTTTCTCTCTCTTTGAACTGTTCTTTTGAGTCATGAACAGTGACAGAGAGCAACTTCTGTGCAAATGGATCATTGTCTGACTTTCTATTTACATTATTTGGTGGGCAGATTACACAGGTTGTCACGGCCATTCGCCTTTTTCTCATCTGTCAATTTTCCTATGAAACCTACAAGCACTCTCCATGCCTAAGGATGTCCTACAAATGGCCCTCAAAAACCGTCCAACTGTCACACACCACGGAGGGCTGCCCAGATGTCATATAATTCACTCAATTTAAATCACTGAGTTAAATAAACGGAAAAGTTATTTCAAAATCACTAATGAAAATGCAATTTTGGACCAACGTCTATGATTAAAATCTTACATGTGTACCAGTGCTCACTGTAATGAGATGTACATGTACATGTAAGGTATTACTCCTGTATCCTGGAAGTATGTCGAGTAATCTTGTTTTCAATGTACATGATACAGTGTTCTGAAACTGAACTAACGGTTATACTTTACAGTATAAACGAAAGAGTGTTCACTTCCTCTTGAATATTCTTCCATTAGCCTAATCAACAACTATCACTTGGGTCATTCTACGAGGTTGGGGCACAATTTGTGATGGTGTCCTTGTTTTACATCCATGGGTAACTTTTACCACCTGTCATGACCTGTAGAGTAGGTCATTTACTCTGTAAGAATAACACACCCCTCTGTATTCAGCCTTGCAAGATGTATAACAATGTCAATTGGGAATCCACATGCAGGGAAATAGCTGTTGATTTTTACGGAACCCATGTAACAATTGACAGGGTTTCAAATTGTGTCCATCAGTTCTGGCACTGGTTGTGAACCTTCAACCCCCATCCCAACAAACTCTTGTAACCCTTGGGCTGCATGCGGAGTGATCCCACTGACTCCCAATAAAGGCAACAACAACATCAAAATTCAAGAGATTTTGACGTTCAATGTAAACTACATATTCTGCGAAAGAGGACACGAGAAGATTTGTCAGGCACTGAGTTCATGAGCATTTGTGTGCATTGTGGTTGGGTCTGACTTTCCATGACGGTCGTTCAAAGTGACTCATTAAAAGCAAATGTTTTAAGCAAATGACGCAGTGGTAAAAAGAAAAAATGAAAAGAAATAAATTAAACAAAAAACCTAATTAGTAAATAATCAGATTTTGAATAAAAAGATTTTATAAATGAAGCACTTATTATTTGTACACTTCTGTACATTTTTATGTGCACATGAGTGGCGTATGGTGCAAAAAGAAACGACAAGTGCAAAATAAATATCTTACAGACATCCCCCAAGGCCCGCTTAAACTCCTCCTCTTCCAACCCGTAAGAATTCCTTGGGTCATCCAGGAGATTGTACAGACTACCTCCGGTACACAGCTCCATGATGATGACTGGGTTTTTGCTGATTTGCTACAAAACATCAAAGAAAAAAAAACCATAAAAATGAGGGAGCTACATGTAATCTTCTCCAGCAGAATGATGCACGATGAATGCCAGGATTCTGCAGAGAAATCTTGCATCTTTTTCTCTAAATCAACCTGTTCAGAAGGCAACATTTTTAAATTCAAACTCCCCTCAGACATTTCTGCCAGCAACCTTCATGAATCCTCTGCACCCTTTCACTGGGCTGTTCCAATTATTTGATTTGGATTTTCAATCCATTATCAAGTATTCACTTTTTGTTTTAAACATACCGGTACGTAAGGATGAAAATTAGTGCAATAAAACATTATTTGGTTACAATATTGCCTTCTAAAGGAATATTTGAAGGCGTAATGAGTAAACTCAAAGGAGCTGAATACATCTCAGAATGCCCAACAATAAGGTTAAATGTTTCTTTTCCTTCACGTTTCTCATTTTTAACTTCCTGTAAAGGCATACATGTATACATGTAGTTTGATTAGGCTTCTGTGGGGCAATTTTTAATCAAATGGAAGGCTGAATATTCAAATATTCATTTATTCAAATTGAAACAGCCTCATTAAGGAGGAAACCAATAACCCACTGTAGATGTACAGTGTACATTTACATGTATGTATTCATAAGTATATTATTCTTAAATAGGTAGAAGTAAAAGTCCATCTTCCTCAACCCTACAAATCCTTCCAAATCCTCGTAATGGTAGACTGTGACAAATCTTGGAAGGTTTTGGTTAATGGTACTACGTGTACTCATACATGCCATCCACCCAGAAAGTTTACCAACGAAATAAATCTCCAATGGTTCCCAAATTCTAAGTGGGACTGTTAAGGGGGTAGATGCCTCAAGCCAAAAGGTATGGGGGCACACCCCATCAACTTCTTAAGGCAATAAATAACTCAGTCCAAATATCCCATTTCATGCTTCAAATTACATGTAACCTTCAACAACGAGTCTCTGCTTACATTAACATAAAATTCTTTGTTGATGGAATAATTTCACGGATCAACTGCAATTTTGCGTCCTTCCTATGCACATTTCTTTTACCTACGATTCTGTGCACACAAATTTCTCTGCTACAAATGCATTAGCACAGAATTGTGTAGTTAGCAGTTTGACCATTAGTTTAGTAGTTTTTGCATGCAAATCGGCGTGCGAAAATTAACAGACCCAGGGTAAAAATTAAATCTCTGTATAGTAAAAATTAAATCTCTGCATTCATGTTATCCACATAAAAATGCATCCTCACTTCACTGAATGAACCTGCCACCTGGATCTGATAACAAAACGAGTTCAGCAGTACAAGGCAGTGTATCAGCGCAATTCATTTCTGAAGCCACATCAAAATAGTTCCTGGTTCCTCATCAGTGCCCACGTCTGGAGACCTGCCACGTCCAATTCTTTTTAATTTCATCTCTCCATAAACCTCCATTTTCAACAAAATCTCCAGCAAATGTAACAGCAGAATTTTAGACGTTTTAGATGGCCTGGTTCTTTTATCTTCCCCAAATTGTTAGACAATTGACTTCTCTCAAAATTCTCCAGACTGTCCAACTTGAAATGTTCCAAGGCCAATACCCGTCAGCGGAAATAGAGGATCATGTACCATTTTTTAATTGGTTTGACTTCAAACAACATAAATGCATATCCACTGGAGGCAAAGATATGTGTAAAAAAGCATAGGTACCCTCACTGACTTTTTCAAAATGTTCCAACAAGGAACCGGGATTATTTTATGTGACTCAGCAGGGAACTCACATCTTGTTCGATGTCGAAGAGCTTGACGATGTTGCGGTGACTGAGCTTGAGCAAGACGTCAAACTCCCTCTGCTGAACACTCTGGGGCCGCATGAAGCTCATGCTGTTGAATGCTTTGGCCGCCACCAGCTCTCCCGTTTTCTGGAAGTGCACACACATGAAGATAAGAGACAGAATGGCATTGAAGCCTGGGGTCCAATTTCATAGCGCTGCCCAACAACCAATACGGCCGTTTCACAATAGTGCGGCATCAAGAGTTTACAACGCGTTGGCCAATGACAATGCGTGAAATTTGTGGCCCAATGCGCATTTGGAAAGGGTTAACAAATTTTGCCCGTCATGAAAGGCCAATGTATTGCAAACTCTTGGTGGCGCACTATTGTGAAACGGCCGTATTAGTGTTATTCTCCAGTCGGCCATCTTCAGTTGAAAGCGAGGCAATCACTCTATAAATTTTCTGAAAACTTAATGGGTGTGGGTATAAAGATGATGACGTAGAGGCAAATCATAGTTTAACAGCCTTGAGCTGGGATGGGTAATTCTAACATACACATATGGATAAAAAGTTGTGAAACCTTTTTTCCGAATGATAAAAAAGAACAGAAAAAGAATTCCTGTAATCCTGGCACCTGTAAATATGCAGCAAAATAAGCTCCTTCCCATTTCAGAGTGTTCAATACACGAATGGATTCAAACAGCATAATCCAAAATGCCCTTCTCGTAAATAAAGCCCCTTTTGTACCACAAATAATCGGACAAAAAATCTCTCCCAACACAAATTCCTTTGATAAGTACTGATTACCGCAAAGAACTTCTGTTACACGTATATATTGGTTTAAACTAACTGGCAAACCTCTGATATGCTTCGTGGTGTGAAGTGCTGCAGGACAGCAATGGAGGTCACTTATTTTAAGTGGCTTTCTTTAGTAGTGCACTTATAGATGCATTTCAGTCACTATAATGTAAGAATATGACCACATGGCAGGCATTTGTGATATTGGACAGGGTTGTTTGCAGTGTTACGGAAATAATAGCCCCGTTTTATTAGATCAGAGCTGCATGTACAAACCAGCTTCTTTAATTGCCCCTATTTGAATGGTTTTAAACAGTCTGTTGTTGTACCATCTTGGTTGGCATTAATTACAACCCTCCTACGCTAAGACACATTCTTGACACAGTTGACCGATCAGTCAAAACCAGTCAAATTTCCCATATATGTCTACGTGCTGGGGGAAATCAAGTGGAAGGCATTTTTGACTGTTTTTGACAGTTACAGCAAAGGAGGGTTAAAAAAAGTTCCCAGCTGTTTTGGTATTCTCAGTCATCATGTTTTCATGCACATTGTACATGTACATAATGTTACAGTTTCCTGGGTACATACATGTACATGTACATTGTACATCGCTTAGTACTACATGTACAAGCACAGTGCTACAAAGCACTCTAAGACTATTCACATTGGATCATAAGCCATGAACATTTTGAACATGTGTGGATGAATGGGGATATACCGTAATTTGATATGAACATAGTTTTCCCAGATGCTGCATCCACAAAGGTCACGTTGTAACCTTTATTCTGGTACCATTTTTTCCAACAGGTGCACTGCACACATTAAAAACAAATTACTGAGCACCAGTACCTTACACAAAAAACACATATACTATACATGTACTTGTAAATATAAACCAATCAATTTGCTTATCCTTCAGCTTGTAATAAAGCATACACCGGTACACTTTCACTTCTGGTTCTGGGTCAATGCTTTTGATACATGTACATGTACACGTAGACTAGTGCATGCATTGCCAATGTGGATTTGGAAACTGCATTGTTAATTATTCAATTTCAAGGAACTGCATACATGTACATAAAACCACATCTGGTTTTGCTCATACATGTATATGGAAAGTAATATTATTACACACACTGTACATGAGTGTAAAGTTAGTACACCGCCTCCCGCATGCATGAATGTACATGTACAATCTACAGTATGTGTATGCATGTCCCTGTAACTCAGCCTACATGGACTGTAGTAATAGTATGATACCATGGTTAATCTTGAAGTGGGACTTCCCAGTAGCATGCAACACATATCACATTCACATGGTTGACCTGTTGTATTGTTACCCTAAGTGTTATTTCTTTTTTTATCCATTATATCGCATATGTGCAAATATACAGTATATAAAAATACTGTGTAGTAGGCCTACATTCGTCGGTACCTCTATTACCGGTACCTGAGAACGGTTCAGTAAACATGACGAGGGTACATTGTAGACGTCTTTGTATTTCACTGCTACTTTTTGCATGTGTGCTACTAGCATCTGTACTATACGTTCATATGCAGATTGATATGCATACAGTACATGTACATGTATGCACAGCAGCCGACCAGCAACTGTAATTCTTGATGCTCACTTTCCAACTGAATGTACATGTATGTAAATGCTTTGCAGACAAATGTACGATACAACTACTGTACATTAAGTGTGCCCTCAATCTGTTTCAATACATGTACATACATGTCCGAGCTTGGTTTTGAAAACAAACTGTACTGTTGAAAACGCTACAATTAATCTCTTTCATTTACACCGAAATTTCTTGATAATAGTGTTAAGATCGTGGCTTAAAGGGTGATTGCACATGTGCATTCATGCACTTGCATGCAGGAGAAAAACCAGGAAGACCTGCATTTGTACAACGGCTTGCTACTTGTACACTGATCAAAGGAAGATTGTGAAATCAACGCTGAATACCCCCCGTACATGCATTGTACATGTACTATTGTAGTGGTTCTGCTTTACTGCTGAACCTTACACTTTAACTTGTTTAAATGAAGCTGTTTACATTTCCTTCAACAGGTCAACCCTTTACAAAGCTATGTGAACTTCCTCTAACCTGAAATCAAATTACTCAACGTTTGTCCTTGACGCAAGGACATGTGTAACTCAACCATTTCAAGTAAAAGAAAAGGACCTTTTCATTTACCTAACTTTCCTAAAATAGCCACAAGCATTATATATATCAGTGATTAACGACAGCAACACTGCACTGTGCGCAGCAAGAGGCCTGCATGACCAATTATGGCCTTTGCACACAGCACATGATGTTGTTGTCGTTCGCTTTAACAGCACTTTCAGCACCTCAGGCTATTTGCATCACAGCACATGATGAGGTCATTACCTTACTTAGGGGAATACCCTCTTGTAGACAGACTGCGTACATCCTGGTCTTTTTTCTTTAGCATACACTGTAATCCTAGATAGTGATAAATGCATTGATCTCTTCCTCTTGCCACCTTGGCCTCTGTACTGTGGACAATGAATTGCAGTTCCTCAAAACTGAGAACAGAAGCTTTTGTAGGCTTTGCGTGTGTATTCCCAGGTGCCTCATACCTGTGTGTACAGGCAATGCCCGTTACTTGTATTCAATCTACTCAGATCTATCGGTGCGTGCGCTTCATACTATCCTGGATAACCTGCTGACCTACATGTACATGTCCGTAATACGCAGGCAAATCTTTACCGATGGGCGCCACTAGTGCATCGGTCAAGGGGAAGGAAGGAAGGGACAAGTCTCATCCCTTAGTTTTCACTTTCTTGGAGGGGAGGGAAGTCAGGGGGATATTTTGAATTTTTTTCTGCCACTCTCAACTGGTTATGAAATGACTTTTAAGAGGGTAAATTTTCAACCAGATGAGCAGACATGGACCCACCGTGCTTGAAGGTTTCTGGCTTTAACCTCAGTTTGGTCCCCTCTTCCACATCGGTGTGCTCCAATTATTACACCTACGAGCAGCAGGTTGTTTTTCCATTTTACCCATGAAAGGTTTCGCACTCCAGCAATCTTGATATCCGCTGTTTGGGAACTCCATTTATCCCTTCACTGACAAAGAATCGAGGGGCTAGTGGAACTGTTTCAACTGTCACCCGGAACACAGGTAAAGAATTTTTTCTGTACACCCACATTCCAACAGAAACTGGTCGCATATTCGCCACGCAAGCACATACATGTACATGTACATTGCACGTAAGATGGGTTTTTCTTTGTTTTCCCTTTGTTGAGAAAGCTCAGGGAAAAATTTTCTCCCACAATGACAACTCCTTCAAACTAAATTTTTGAGGATTTTGGATAAACTTTTTCCCGCCAATTTGCCACAGACCAAAAAGTAACCGCTGACCCCAGAAAGGCTCTAAAAGTTTTTTTTTCAGAGGAGGAAACTTACATGTACATGTGTGAGGAAAGCTAGCAGGCCCAAGCCTGTGTGCACTTGGCATGTATATGTACAAGCTGTGTACAGTACCAACTAATGGGAAGTTAAGGTGGGTCATTCTACAAATTTGAGGTCTGACATGTGACCTTTTTCCATCCCTGTTACGCCTCCCATGGACACGTTGACAACCTGGGATATCCTACTATATTTATGTGTTTGGCAGGCAATTTGCAGTACTTATTTACTCTTGAAAATTAAAGAATGTGTCCTTAACATTAAACAAATCATACGCTAGACGTAACTGGGACGGCAAAAAAATTGAACTTCGAATTTACAGAATAACCCTGCTACTTCTTGCTCATGTATGAAGATCGTGAATCTATGTAACGTCCATAACTGTTACCTTGTGTCGGCCTTTGTAGACGGTGCTAGTAGCACCTGTTCCGAGTACATCTTGTAGGTACCACAGATAGGTCTTGGTGCTACGGATCTGACCTGAGGTGGAAGCCATGTTGATCTTGTACTAAGATCTGTATAATATATATGTGCACAGGGAGAAAAAGAAGTTAGATTATGCCCCCAAATAACTGTGTTTACAGCAGCCTAACCAATCTGGAGCCTTTGTCTCAATTGTCTTCATTTCCAACCTCAAACTTGGCAATTGAATAATTTGCATATTAAACTTTTGAGAACAAAATTCACTTGAGTCTAGAGATCACCATTTACGGTTGATTAAACAGAATGGATGAAACTACTTTATGTGCAAAACTGAAAATTAACAGAATTTGCTAAGCAATATCATTTATGGGTCCTGAATTTAATCAAAGCTGGTATTAGTTACTATTAAAGACTGAAATGGACAGTCACAACGTGAAAAAAAATTCTTTGCCTGCCTACAGACACAATTCGAATGTTAGCAGATAAACTGGTAACATTGAACACAACTGTCAGGCATTGTAGCACTCCATATGCTACACATCAAGTTAGGAAGTCCCAGCTAAATAAGCTAAAATTCTCAGTGGGGGTTCAAGGGTAGTAAGAGTAATTGTGGAATTGGCACAGGTAGACAGTGTATTCATGATATTCAGACATTGCTGGAGCTATTGCAAGAGCAGCAGGAATTTCCCTTCCACTTTTGGCTTGATATTTAATTATTCTCCAGCTTCCTGTTAGCCTCGAGGGCTAGGCCCGGGCGAGTACTGTTTCGGCATGTTCGGGTGGAGCGGAACGCTACGTGAGTGTGTCTTGTCATCTTCTTTGTCTCATTGAGCACTATCGAACATTAGAACTAAGAGTAAGACCAAGTTAATCTCGTTCAACCAACCTGCCTCCTCGAAACTTCGACATCGCCGGTCGAAGTGAATGCTGGTTAAGCAGTTATCGTCAGATTATCCAAAAGACATGAAGAAGACTACCGTGTGGATGCCTCCTCCATTGTTTACTTTTGCGCGGTCATCACCAGCAATCAGTAGTATGCATAGCACGGCAAGTACATGTACACTGTACACGTATGTACAAATGTATTGTACATGTACATGTACATAATAATTATATCGTACAGTGAAGTCAACTAGCGCCCTCTCTCTTTCATGTGATTAATTACCACGTGCAATTAAGTTACACGTACAATGCATTGTGTAAACCTCTGACGACACTTGAGGATTAATATTACGCAAGGAAGGTGGAGATGGATTGACAAATTTGTACGTTGCATTTCGTAAAGCGAGTAACCAATAGTGTGCGTGGCCTTGTGCAATAAACTTAGTGCAAATATGACTGTGGTCCATTGACTCAAGCTCAGCGACATGTCAGGCAAGGCTGGATGATTATTGCATGGAGCATGGAGGAAGGAACACATGGAGGAAGGAGGGGACCTTCCTCCATGATTATTGTCAGGCATAGGGGGCCTATTAAATATTTGCCTTCCTCGTCCATGGTCAGATCATGGTACCCCTGGCCCTAAAACTGTGGGGTCCGCTCCACTCCCGGGGCCGGGCGGACGTTGGACCCCACAGTTCTGGGAATGGGACCATGGTTCATGATTAACTTGCGCTCACAGGAGCAAGTCTTTTTATTTAGAAGAAGTGCCATGACTTTTAGGGATTATGTCAGAAGTGAGCTGCATGAAGTTGAAGCTTGAGAAATTTTAGACCTAGGCCTATAGGTCCAAGGCCTATATAGAATTTACCGACAATAGTTAGGCCAGCCCAACTGCAGTACTATTATTGGGACTGTCCCAACTATAGCTGGAACAAATGCTGAAGTGCAACAAAATAGCGAAAGTTTAGTATAGCAGTGATTTCAGAACACACAAATTTCACTGGCCCACTTGTACAGGTATCATGTTGCGCACTAGTTCTTTACAAAGGAATACAGTATAAAAAGTATAAAAATTGACAACTCGGTGCACTGCAAGTTTTGCTGGTGATACTTCATTGTTCCAACCAAATGCCAACTGCAGGTTGGAGCATGGAACAGACATGACAGAGTAATCGTAGAATACGTCGCCACACAAAAATACACCTAAAATCACTGGCTACAAAGTGGCATCTAGTTTGATGAAATTACTGACTCCTCTGTTGGCAGTTGTGTGGCTTTAAAGTGGAAGTCTCCCTTTTTGAGATCAAAGTGGAACTACATGTACATGTAATAAGCTTGGAGTCGAGGGCAGGTCCAGAAGTAAACTTTCACTGGGTTAGCGGGAGCCAAATTGTTTTGAGAGGCCACAAAACTTGGAAATTTATTGGCCAATTAACCTTTTGTGGCATTTCTGAGGGGCAAAGCCAGGTCGGGTTGATTACATACTTCTGGAAGGAAAGGAAATCTCCGTCCCCGTTCGCTGTTGTTTGAAGTTGGTTCATCAATGGTAAGATGGTAGAGTATACTGAAAGGGAAAGAGAAGACGGTTTTTACTTATCTCCGAATTTGTATTATGTGAAAAAAAAATACTTGTACTCTTTCCTGCAATGTAAAAAGAGCCTCCAGGTGCAACATGGCAGTAGCCAGCAGGGACCACGTCCATGCCCCACCCTCCAAAAAAAAAAAAAATAAGAGAAATGACAATTGGGTGAAAAGTCCATTTTTTCACTCCTTTTGAAAAGCATGTGAAAATGATTTCCCATATTTGTTCCTGCCCCCACCTGTAAAAATTACTGAAATAAAATTACTTATTCCTTGTTCGACGTTTGGCATTCAATGTTAAATAAGTAACTGATATTGATCGTTGAATAAGTAACATCATTAATAGGACTGCTGATCAAAATTGCCTTCTAAATATTCCCCTTGCAAAGACCAAAACCTTACCCCACCCTTCCTCCAAAAAACTGTGTCAACAAAGTAGCTGAGAAGCAGATTTAATTCCTTGTGCATTGGTGTAGAATAAGTGTCAAACCGGTTGCAAGGTATTTTAGGGAAAGCTTCTAAAGACGTGGCACAAAAAGAGTGCATTGGATTGGATTGAAATATTGGATTCTTTCCTCTTCCCCGTACACTCTTTCAGGATTAATTTCTGAATGGCAGTTCCTTTTAGAATTTAGAATTTGGACTCATTGCTGCTGATAATTGAATGTGCACATTTTCAAAATGAAGAAATCACTGGCTTTACTTTATTTCTTGACTTTATCTTGACTGCAGGAACATACATGTATATGTAGACTTGCATCATGGGCAAGACAGCAAGGAAAAGAACACCACAGAAGCGTAGTTCGGGTGATCGCATCGCATTGGCGCATCAGCCGCAGAGCAACGTCCGAAAAGCCAAACTGGCACCCGTAGCCAAACGTCAAAAGGTGTCCAAGGCCGTGAAGAGGGGTGCTGCAGCTTTAGTCAAAGGTCACCAAGTGTCACAAGCTGGAGGACGCAGATTGAGGCCAGGCCTGCCTGAAACGATTCTCAGGGAGGGCAAAGAGGTCGTCATTCACAGGGTCACACCTGCTAAAAAGGCATGCTGTGCTGCAGAGGTCAGGACAAGGAAACAAAGGAAACATGCACGCACTTCCATGACAGGCACGCCCTCTGAAAGTGTTGCCAGACAAGACAACCCAAAGTGGCCTGCAGAATGCATCTGGGAGGTCAACGCATCCTCAAGTGAAACAGACGGGACAACTTCTGTTTCCATATCTCCAACAGGTCACAGGAAGGACACAGTTTCAGGGACAGCAGGTGCATCAGGGAAGACAGCAGTTCACGAATCTCCCTCCATCACCGTGGTTGATCTGGGCCAAGATTTCAAGTCTGGCATCCAGCGGACTGTTAGTCTTACCCCACCGAGCAAAGTCAGCAGGAATAAAAATAGGGAAGGGAATTCCAGGTCTCAGTGCCACGAACTGGACAAGCATCCTGATATCACAAATGTATGGACCTCCCTGGAAGGGGATGTCAGGCAAGGAAGCAAGCCCAGAAGCCCACCATGTGAGGAAAAGCCCATGCAGAGTGTGTTTGTTGTCGATCTGGGTAACCAGTCCCATGACAATTTCCATAGACGTTCACCATCTCCCAGTGAAAATTCAAAAGGCAAGCATAGTGCCAGGAGTACAACCAGCAGTGCATCTCCCGAAACCTCCTCGCCAGTTTTCAGACGTGGGAAAACCGGTCAGGACACAGGAAGTGGGAAAAAGTGTTTATCCAAAAAACAAAAGAAAAAGACATCTGCTGAGAAAGTTGTCAAGAAGTTAAAAACAGGGAAGCATCTGAAAGCTGATTCTTCAAGTGAGAAAGTTGTGGAACTTGTATCTGCTCCTGTGAAAGAAACACCGAAAAAGAAGAAGAAAAAGGACAAAGATCGTGAAGGGACTCCTCTCAAAGGGTCTGTCAAACTGTTCGAGGAAGAAATCCAATTAAAAGAAAGAGGAAGTGAATTCCAAGACGAAGGAGCCCATAGTGACGGAGTCGGTGCAAAAGTTGAGAGCAACCGACTGCCCTCTGGGGAGGATTCACTGGCATCCTGCCTCTCAGAACCAGCCCTGGACGTGACGACGGAGGCCTCCGGAGAGGTGGAAGATGACGATGGACCATCTCCTGAGACTGAGAACCACATCAATGAAGGAGAAGGTGTGAACGATGGAAGTCCAGGAGATTACCCAATGGAGCAAGATGTACAATCAGCCAAAGATGACAATAAGCAGTCCTACAGGTAACTTTTGCCTCATTTCCGCCCTGTCTGTATGGACAGCCTGCACAAATGCCCCCTCATCTATGTCGAAAGGGAGTGGATAAAGACCTCTCTTCCTTGCATTCATGCTTGCTTTCTTCTTTGTACCAAAAAATCCAACTAAATTGGCTTGAAGTAACATGCATGCCTGTGGAAGCCACTGTGGAAGCCGTTGCCTTTTGACTTCCATCAAATGTGTTATTGGTGACCACAGCGATGTACATGTAATTTTGACATCACTTATGTAAATGTATGGATTCGCTAAAGGTGCCTCATTTTTACTATTTTGATATCCGATCCAAGTTAGAAATGTACGAGTAATTTCTTTGGAAATATCAGTCTGAGAATTCTGTTATCTTCGTTCACAGAATCTTGAAGCTTTTGAACAGTGAACAGTGCCTGCTCCTCCTCCGGTACCCAGGCAAGTTCAGTTTCCATGGCCACGTCCTCCTCCGTTCCCTTCACGGCTGCATCACGGTCCTGGGTTTCACAATCTCGGACAGCACGGACCACGCCTTCCACCCGTTGTACTCCCCTAATTCCTCTTGTGCCCTCTGCGTGGAGACTTTGCCCAGTGGCCGAGGCAAAGCTGGGGGGTCCGCAGCCCGAACCCTAATGGAGAGCCTAGAGGCATTCTTAGCAGCAGAGGATGAGAGAGACCTTAGTGCCAGTCTCCAAGGTTTGGAGGAGGAGTTCACAGTTGCCCTTGTCCTCAAGAAGATGTCGGAGGACCATTCCGTGACGTATGTTGAACGGTTCCCTGGATTTGGAAATCTCTTCAGTAGTCCAGAACCCAGACAGGTACATGTTGTTTAAGGCATAGATTTGAGATGCGAGTTTGCAATGTGGCATTGCCAAATCCTTGGAGGGCATGGCAAAGTTGCTATTAAAGTGAAATTCTGAAATAAAGAACAGGACTTTTCCTCTATCTAGTTTATCTATGACTACACCCAACTGTAGATTCCTCGCCGGCAGGAACATCCCAAGTCACGTTTGATCTATTGTAATTCATATACACAATGGCATGCTCTTTTTGCTTAATTTTTCAATGGGCATCATCAAGTCCCATATAAAGTAATTCAATTCAAATTTAATGTAAACTTCAGTAATTATGTGTGGTTATTGGACAGCTCACTACAAATATTACAAGTTGATTTTATATAAAAACATTAAACAGCAGTAAAAACTACATACTTATCTAGCTTCAAATTTGATGTCAAACTTCACTAAAAACAAATATTCTACATGAAATACCATTGATGATAAGCAACACATGTACCTGCCAACTGGATGTACAGGGCACCTTTTTCTAATTCCTCAAAATCACCAAGCAGGTTTTGAAAGTTTCAGGTGGGATTAGGGCCAGATATCTATTTTGTGTTTTCACTTCAGTACACCCAACGCGAGGAATCTTGGACCTCCAATCTTGCAGCAGCGGCAGCAGTGGGCATTCGACCCACCACACCCAGCACTCCCGGTGCAGTGTTTGACACCCTACCCGGCTACCGTGCTGTCGCAGACTCAATAAGTGGCTGGCTTCGTGCCACAGACGCCACTGCAGTGGTGCTGGTCTGTGGCTGGAAGAACTCGGGAAAGTCCATGCTCTGCCGTTACCTGTCCAATTCACTCATTGCCAGGTAGCGTAGATTCAAAGTTTTCAAATGTGATATACTTAAATGAAAGGTTTATCTGCATTATTTCCCACTTCACACATTGAGGTCGGTACACAATTAAAAGCTAGGTCCCCTAGATTTTATTTATTCCAAGTTGGTTCGGTCACTGCAAAATGGCATCAGCCCCAGTGAATGTTCTCTTAACTATATCGACCCCTTTTTTTTAAACTTTGATTGACAATGCAGGAGACAATATAAGACTTTCTAACCCGAGTATCCCTCAGCGAAACATACAGGTTCACTGTGCACTGCAGAAATGCATGCACTATTGTCAAGCTGTTTACATGGAGTAAGCCTATTCCTGCAGAACTGAATTTCAATTGAATTGAAATTCTGTCTGAATTTTAAGCTCCCTTTTTTTTTTTTAGTATGGAGAGCTTGTGTTATCTGGAATGTGACATGGCCCAAACAGAGTTCACTGCACCTGGCTTGTTGTCTCTACAGCACATTTCCCAGCCACTGCTCGGTAAGCATTTGTCTGATAAGGTAGTAGCACAAATTGGGGGTGTCTGAAAGCTGTCAGACTTTGGGATGGGGCATGGGCGTTCCTGGAGGGGGGTTACTTGTCCCATTCCTCCCCCCTCCCCCCAAAAAAATTTTATAAAACATAAAAGAAGAAAAAAACAGAAAATAAAAAGATGAAAAAACAAACAAGAGATGGAAAAGGGATGTAAATCACTTGCTTGGAAATACCTCAGAAGTGACTCCCTTCTGCCGTCAAACATTCATCAGTTTGCTGCTGACAAGGGCTTGACTCCCCTGAAATTCCAGCCCCTCCCCCAAATAAAATCCCGGGGATGCCCATGGCTTGGGGGTCATTCTATGCTTCTGAACTTTCCGTTTGTTGGTTTCTTAATTCAGGTCCACCCTTCACACACTCGAGAAAGGCTGAAATGTAAGTAACTTATTTTCCAACTCCTGCAGTACAGTCATTTGCAAAAGTTTAAAACCACCTGGAATTTTATTGGTTTTTCTGTCACTGGGCCTGCATTACATTGTCTCATTGAATGATAACTTAACATGATTTTACAGTGGTGCATAACATCAGTGCAGTGCTATATACCCATTTGAATGAAATTTTTTGCAAAGGCAGGTCTTGTAAGACATTTTTTATGTAAGGCAGCTTGGGAAAAAAAGCCAGTCGAGGCAATCAGAAATAAGGGAGGGCACCCTGAATATTAGACTGTTAACATGTCAAATCACGGAGATGTAGTCAAAAATGTTCAACCAGGGTACCAAGGTTACACACTGAAAATAAACATAAGTTGCCATGATTGATTGGTTTAAATTTGGTTTCCCTGCAGGTTAATTAATTTTCTGTGGGTGGTCCTAAACTTTTGCAAATGACTGTATATAGACCAATTGTACTGTGCTTTCATACCATATATCATTTGTGCTATGATGTCACTTTCTGTGATTGTTTTACTTTTGATTTCTTTTACCTTATTACTTTGTTCAAATCACGATCAATGGACAATGCAAACTTATGGCTATGAGAACAATTTCTGACTTGATCTGACTTGAATAATGATTTAGTGCCTCAGCCTGAGGCTCAAATTTGAGTCTCGCTGATTGACTCACACTATTTCTTGTGCTTCAAGCTCAAGAAGATGGGCCAGGTTTTGGAACATGCATAGAAAAATGTAAGACTTCTTGTAAAATATAATCATAGGACATAATAATGTAGTTCAGTTATTTACACTGCCTTATTACATAGACTTATTTCTTTGCATTGAATTGCAGAGTGCAAGTTCTAAAATCAAAAACCTAAAAGATCGATCTGACTTTTTAAAAAATGAATATACAAGTATATACCGGTATTAGAAAACACTGCTCAAGGAGAATCCCTGACTGAATTCTAACTCAAAACTCGGCCTTTGGCTCTGGGACTCAAACCCAGTCTTCTTCACATCTTAAAATCAAAGTACCGGTATGAGGACTCAAATACCATGCTTGGTTTACAGAGAATGGTTCTTGGTATGGTACTCTGAGTGAGTCATAAAGTCCTTCCTTGCATCTTTGCAGGATGTGTTTCTATGGTGATGTCAATGTACGTGGTGACCCCGAGTCCTATCTCCGGATGATTCAGTATCTGTTCCAGCAGTACCAGACTAGACATCCAGACAAACCTCTCATTATCAACACCATGGGGTGGATGCAAGGTACCATACTTTGCACGCCGTCTAACACATTGATCTACAATTTTTTACCAATGACAAGGTCATGGCAGTAGAAAAGACAAATTTGGGGCATGCAGTTTTGTCCGAGTTACAAATAAAGAAGTATGGTCACAAAAATGAATTTCCAATTTGGATTTGTTTTTTGGGGGGGGGGAGTTTTTTTTTCTATTGGACTCCCCAGTTATCATCATTTGTCCAACCACGTGTTGACGTGGTGACTTAAGAACATTTTGGTTGTTATTAATCAACATGGAGTGCCACATGTGGCTGGCCAACAGTGTGGATAAAAGGTTAGTCAGACTTTCACCACAGGTTTGCCTGTGTTCTGATGACGTCTCGTTTTGTTTACTTATGCATTTCCTGTGGAGCCAGTTGGGGCCCACGGTCCACTGAGCACCGTAGTAAAGCACATACAAAAACAAAGTGTGGTGCCATCAGTTCAGATTTACATATACATCCTTAGTAAAGTGAGAGGTTTCTCCATTCGGTATCTAATGGTGCTTTCTCTCAAACAATCGCTCTGCCTTTTCGTAGTATTAGTCCTCTTCTTTTCATCATTTTAGGCATTATTAATATGTCATTTAATCATTAACTCCCTGCTTAATTTTTGTAAGAAATCTAATCAATCTATGGGGTATGGTTGCAACAGATAAATGAAAAGTAATGTTTCGATTTGCAGAACAATTATTTTAATTGGAATCTTATCCCAAAATTGTTTTGAGCACACTTTTAGTCATCCGTAATCACATTTTTTGACCAGGCCTCGGACTGCAGTTATTGATGGACATTGCTCGCATCACCCGGCCGACACACATCGTCCAGCTGTGGTCTGGAAGCCAGCCGCGCCTTGTCCCACGTCTGACGCTGGATTTTCTGGGCAAAGCGGAAGGCTGGCGGCACCACCAGGCCGAAGGGAGAGGTGGGCGAGATCAGAGCGGAGCGGAGGCAATCTGTCCTGAAATACTGCAGGTGGATGCGCCTAATCTTGGCGACCAGGCTGGGTAAGCAGATGGGACGGATTTGCTGTCCACAGAATTTCCCGGAGCAGTCAAGTTGGCTTGGTCGCTCTCATCGATTAGGACCCAGTCACTGTTGCAGTCGAGACCTCTTACTACCATCACGCGACCTTACGAGACCATCTCAAGGCGCCCTCAGTCTGCATTCAAAGTCACAGGCTATTCAAATGAACTGTGATATTTGTCATTTTTCACCGTGTTACTGGTCTTGTGTCTGGTCTTGTGGTGGTCACAAAAACAACACTAGGTTCAATGTCTGAACAAAAAAGACTGAAGCTACTGGGGGAGAATCACTATTAATATACGTAAGAAGTCTTTCATAATCTTACGGAGAGTGTAAAGCTTCCATCATCTGGTCAAATGGAAGTGATGTTGTGGAGTCATGTCATGGATGGGTCTATCATTCTGGAAAATTTGGGTCCCAATTTCAGGACCAAGTACAAGGCCTCGGACCACCGGACCATGGCCCTGTTGGCCAGCCTGAGCAACCTCCAGCCCTCCCCACTGCCTCTCATGCCAGTTGCCCTGTCGTCTCTGACTCCATTGGTGTTGCCGTGGAAAGCAGTCGCTGTGCATGTGACCAGTGGCCATGTTGCCCCAAGGCACATCATGTATGCGTTGAATGGGAGCATTGTGGGACTGTGCTGTGCAGACCCATCCAAGGTAAGCCTTTGTTGACAGTCTCGTATCTCTCAGTGGCATAGTACCGTAGGAAGGCTTATATATCCCCAAGTATTTTTTAACACGTGCCCTTTTCCCAACAAATGCCCCTCGTAAATGAATTCTTAAGAGTTATTCTGCCATAAAAGACACTGTCTTATGCTGTCTGCCTTGAGTTGTACCACACCTGCCCCTTTTGAATGGAAACGTGCCCATTTTTCGCATTATCCCCCATCAAGTAACCTTGCTACACCACTGTTCTGAACGTGAAATGCCAACTCCAGCAGTTTCATAGGGAACCTGAGCGCATATGATTTTTGAGAGTCACCCTTAGCGGTAAAAAAAAAGTGTGTAGTATTCACATGTACATGTATATTGGTCGACCATTGCTGAGTTTGGAATTTTTACAGCATGTTTATTTGTTCTGAAGCATCTTCTGCTTTGGATAGACTTTCCTACAGAAGTGTGTTATTGGTACATAGCGTCATCATAGAAGTTGGCTTTTGTCTGAACCAAAGCCAGTGTGAATGAGCCTGTTCTGTATTTCAAAAAAGATAAGGTCGCTCGAAATTAGTCACTTCCTGCCGGGGATTCCGAATCCGGACACGTATGCTATATATGCATGGCCAGGGTCTTCGAACTCGGACAAAGGGAACAGGGTCTTGTAACAAAAGACATACTCGGAACAGAAGACCTGGCTGCTGGGAATTACCGCCATTTTTTCACTCTCAAAAGTGGAGATAATCCAGCCTTGTTTTGAAACAGTATACCACGGTTTGGGGCATTTAGAGTGAGCGGATTACCACCGGGGACAAAAGCGCTCCACCACCGCAGCGATGAGCCACACAGTACTGTTGCATGCTAATCTGGCCCCTATTGAAAAGAGGTCAGCAGCGCACTGTGGCAGGTTCGTGAACAAAAGAAAGTTAGATAACACCGCACAATCTGGGCTCTTTTTACAAGGCTGCAGGCCTGGCTGAAATACTCGGGCATCAATAGATTTTGTCTGTCAGGCTAGAGTGGAGACCAGAGAACTCTTCATGTGGGTATAAGTGTGCAGTAAATGAAGATAGGAATTTTTAACCCCTTAGCGGCGGGACGCAGCTAAACACGCTGTAAAAATTGAGATCCTCAGCCCGCTTTTCAGCTATTATTCTCGTCCCACGCTTGAGCGAACACGGTGAAAGAAGGCAGACCCTGGTTCTTGTACATACCGTAATTGGTCTTTGTGTGTGACCCAGAAATGAAAAGACTGAATTTGCATCATAATCACCAGCTTCACAATAGTTCCCACTTTGAAAAGAGGCAACGGGAATGTGGAAACGTGAGTAGAGCTGCATGCCACCGAACAATCAGCCTTTTCATCGTGTAATTCAAAGCGTGCAGAGCACGCAGGGCCACAAACCGAGAATTTACGGTTTGGCAGGTGGCCTTCGTGGCCAACCGAGGCTGGAATTCTTGGAGTCGGCTTTCGGAAAGAAATTCCCAGCGCGAAGGGGTTAAAGAATTTTGAAAACAGAAAAAAATAAATATCCCACCCCAGCATCATCAACATTGATAACTGCTCCGGCAGGAAGTGGTTAAAGCAAGCGTGTGGGTTGGCGTATGGCCGCGCTAATAGGGCAGACCTCATGCATGCAAATCGCTGTCCCTGAATGACCCCAGACGTGGCTCATTCACAGTGTTTTGTCTTAACATAGATTCACATCTGGCTTCCTCTCTGCTCGACAGATGCGGTCGTTGTCGGTGGGCCTCCCAAGGGTCTTTGACTCAACCCCTGTGTGCCAGTGTCTTGGATTAGGTAAGAGGCTCACTCGCTATCATAAGCCGTGTCCTACCCATGACTCTCCATCCCTGGGATAACTCCTAAGAGGAGGCCACCCTTTAAAGTCTCCTGCCCTGGTTAGTTCTGGTTCAACTCCGTCCCTCACGAACTGCTGCCGTAACCGACTTTGGCCTTTTGACAGCCGTTGCCTTCTTGAACTCAACTTGCCTAAACTTGTTTTAGTGTAAACTGACATCTGTGTCATTCATGAATGCCAATTTAAGCGACAGTGTCCAATTCCAAGCCCAGAGTTAAGAATCCGTCCCTAGCTTTGGAGGTTATCTGTCCAAATTGTTCGTGAGTGACAGCTGGTTCATGTATTCTTCTCCCGGAAATGCGCAGGCATCATCAGGGGAATTGACCCCGTCCAGAAAGTCTTCTACATCCTGACGGGTGTGTCCCAGGATGCATTGCAGATGGTCAACACCCTCCTCAAGGGGTCACTCACTCTGCCCCAACCACTTTTGACACAGGTAAGAAACCTCAACAGAAACACGGTAACCAAGAAATTATAAGAACGATCAAGGCAAAAGTATCCAGGATAAGTGAGTGACTTGTTTTGCCACATCTATTCAGCGGTCATATGAATATTTCTCAGCCAATTACGTTTCACAGTTGGACTTTCACCATGCAACAAGTGTACTTATTGAAAACCGTTTTAAAATCATTTGCATTGTACACCCAGTCGTTTTTCATCCCAGGATATGCAACGGATGAGGCATCAGAGGTTGTCATGCAGTTGCTATACTATAATTTGGTGGGGCATAATTTTCCTTTTTTAGGGGAAGGATAAAACTTGACACTTTCTTTGTGGATTGTCTTTGGCGTAAGGCTACAGTGGGGGACTTCTCTGCTTTTTGGTTGAAGGGAAATGATTAAGTCCCGAAAAGTTCTTCTTCTCATGTTAAATGATTACTTCTCCCCTTCCACATCATCCAGTGGCTATAAGGCGTGGAGTCAGACAGAACACAACTCTTCTCCTGACTTGAATCACCCTTTCATGTCACCCTTTTTGGTGGGGGTTCTTATTCATCTTTCCCAGGGCCATCGCATCACGGATGTCCCCTACATCTCTCGTGAGTTCTCCTCGGTCGTCGTCGGCTCCAGTGCCATCAAAGTGCGTCGGAACATCAAGCAGCGCGGGCGGTGAATGCTCGCACAATGACGAGTCACAGCGACCATTGTCAGACCGGTTGCAGCTGTAGAGCATGGCTTTTGTTCACGGTCATGCTGTACTTATACCAGGAATAAAAGTTTATTGCCAAATATTTTGGCAGTGAAAAATTTCCTCACAACTTTAGCTCATTACTGTTAACCATTAAATGTCCAACTTCCTTTGAATAACATTTGTTTCCTATTCTCTGACCTGCTTGTGAAGAAACGGCTGTGTCCCTTTTGTGTCCTGCTTGAAAAAGTGTTCACGATTCAAGAAAAATGAGGATTCTCTCCTATTTTTTTTAACTACACAATGACAAAAGAATGCCCAAACTTTGTATGCAGTGCTAATGTGGGAGTGCTTTGTGAAAGTAGTGCATTTTCTCACCATAAATATGACGGGATATGGCATACCGGTAGTTACTTCAAGGTTGGTACATGGGTTGGTCTTCAGTGCTCCACGTCTTTTGGAAGCTTATTGACCTTTGACCCAATAGGTCAGTGGTCATGGTCATAGCTGGAGGATCTGGCGTAGCAATGTAAAATGTGGTATGCGGAGTGGAGTTGTGTCCTTCAGAAATTCTGTTGATTTTGGATTCCGTGGTTAAAAATCATTGAAACAGGATGAGCTTTGTGGTCACAAATCAAAAGTTGCGTGTTTATGGGTCACCTCAAAAATGCACCTGTTTGGTCTTGATATCATATTCCAGTTTTGTTTGACTTTCTTAAAGGCTATTTTGCTACCTTCTTATATGCTGAAGGAGTATTTCCATATTCATGAGCAAAACTATGATGTCATCCCAGGAAGAACTCACTGTTACATTGGTTTGTGCACCAAAAAAATGCTGGATTTTTAAATATTTTGCTGGCCTGACTTTTTCTTTTTGCTGATTCATTGTTGTGTGGGTAAACAGCAACGAGCAAGCAACGTGCTTGTTTATTTGTCTTTATTTTACATTATCATTTTACTCTTAATTCTCTGAGATTTACAATTTAACATGATGGGAATGAAACTGGACAGTTTCATTCGTTCAATTTCAAATCAGTATTCAAGAGGGGCTTTGTCCCCACTGTACAAGAAAAGGTCCAAGGTTAGCCAGATGTGCTACAGGGTTAAGTCTATAATCTTGAGTTTTGCATTTCATATGACAAAAGCAATATGAAAAGCGTTTGAAGTACTTCTTGGGGTATTTGGATACAATGAGAAAACTTGAATCAATGCAGATGTTGAAATTCTGCACTTGGAATAACTTTGGGTGCAAAATGTATCCTGTAAGTTCCTTATTGTGCTTGGAATTAAACAGGTTTTCTTAATAAAATTGGTTCTATTTTGCACATTCTCCTGAGGTAGTAAACATCTTTTTGGTCGTAAATGTATTCATTTTTGTGTCTTACATCCGTTTAACCCAGTACCAGTAATCTGCCAAAGACCCAAAATAAATCGCAAGTTTTTCAAGCACGTCAGACTATGAAATAAGTGAGGTCTTGTTGTAAAGCATTTGTGTTTGATCATGTAGTAACAACAGAGTTGGGGAAAATGCCCAAGTAAACTGCGTTCTACAGTTCGTATATTTGAACACCCTGTGTTCCACATTTGTTGTCAAATCCAGGTTCCCGGGGAGGGGCTAATTGGAAATTAATCTAAACATGACTGTCGAAATTTTCAATAATAAAATCCTCATCCCCCAAGGGAAAAGTGGTAGTACTGTTTCTGAAATGTTGACCCTTTCAAATTTATTCTTTTAATGGCAATATATTCAAGGGTAGGAAACTTGTCCCCCTGTCCCCACCCCCCCCCACCCACGTCATGCCTGTGGTGAAATGCCAAAGTGAGTTTGGTTTGAGTAGCACCTGAAGAACATGGACAGTTGAGATGAATACTTGGATTGTAAACGGGTGAAGAACTGTAAGGTCCGGGACCATGCAAAACTTTCAAACTTTCATCATGTATACACATGTATATCGAACTGATTTCTTGAAACTCGGTGCTGGAAATGACATTACAGCAATTGATTAAAAGTCTGTGCAAACGAATAATGTTGCATGTGTATGTGTTTTAGTCACATCACCAAGTTCCACCAGAATATGCTAACTTGTGTTTGCAAAAATTCAACATTTGGGCCAATGGATTTTTTACATGCCCTCATACTCGGGCTGGAATATCTTACGTTTTTTGTTCCAAACGAAGTGAAAGGTTGGGTCGCTGACATTTTTTCAGTTGAAATTCAACGATTACAACCCTCAACGGTGTAGGAATGTAAATTTTTGCTGGAAATGGGGGGGGGCGGTTGGGATGTTGGGATATTCGTGCAGAATCTTACATTAGAACAGAATATTATGGCATTTGATACTGGATACATTTTGGTTGTTGTTAAGTCTAAAAATCTTCACAGTCTGCCTGATTTTTTTTTTTGTCACCACGAAAAGGTGGGAAGATGTATACCCCGATCCCCTTGGATTTCCCGCCCATGACTTTAAACAAAGTTCGCTATTATGATTCGCGCACGTAGCCTATCTTTCGTTCCCCCCCCCACCGGATAAAGGCTGACAAACGTCGTGAGATGTAGGTTGCTCTATAGAGAAACACAGCATTTGGAAAACTATGATAAACCACAACCACAATGAAAGGATCGTGTTACTTTTTGACCCGTCATATGGTTTAATTATTGTTAAAGATGTTACAAAAGATATAAGTGGAAGACAGACAAAACAGCACTCATTCTGGTCTTCATATACAAAGGTGTAATACTGAGCGCGTCCTACAATCCCTTCTTTGTCTAGAATTTAACTTTTGTTTTTAATTTACTTTTATTGTATCAATGTATGTAAATTTTTAGTTGTACGCGTAATTGTAAATTTGAATACTGTCGGTCTTAGGACCGTTATTCAAGTTGTTGTGTAAATAAATAAACCAATAATATAATAATATAATATATTGTTGATCCTTACTGTGATTCTGTTAGAAAAAGGGAACCCCTAATAACCATACCCGATCACCTCGTCCTCTACTTAAAGAAAAAATAATCCAAGGGTTCATGATGCACCCATCACCCTATGATAATCAAATGATGCTCCAGTTATAAGTTATGAAGACGGATGTATCAAGCCTATTGGTTGTATGCTACAGATCATGATTAGCTCCCCGGCCCCATCGGACTTCGTATGTCATTGTTTTTCAGTCCGTCAACCCGTGGGCGTACTTCTAAGTTCTATACGCGCTGCCTGCACACGACGACGGGGTGGTCGCGACACGGTCGCTTATTAGTAGGCGATGATGCTCCAGTGGTTGGCCAGGGCGCCACCAATCCTAGGATGTTCCGCATCCGTTCCGAAAATTTAAAAAAAAAATCCACCAAACCTACTGCTTTGCATCATGTAACATACGATTAGCACTTTGGACTAGGTTCACGCCACGGTGTAAAACGTCACTCTCAAACCTTGGGGGGAATGCTACCTCTTCCTCCTGAACCAGTCATTACAATCATAATACAGGTGTATCTGATATCAGACGTATAGTTTCCAAAATTACCACATTTCCGCGGTCTACTCTAAGAAAGTCATTACGTCGGAATAATTGAATGTTTGTTCGCAGAGGTTTTGTGGAGGGGGAAAGAAATATGAGACATATTGGGCTGCCTTTTTGTGGTTCACTGGTCCATGACTTGTCTAACGTTTATTGGGCGTGGCCCTCCCAACGCGCGGCGCTTGCCAAATAAACAAGCAAATAATGGTGTCAGTTTACAATTCTTGCGGTGGAAACGTCCGGAACATTCCCGCCATGTGCGCCGTAGAGTTGAACTTAAAACTAGATCACCCGTCATATGCGGGGAAAGATTTCCTTCGTAGACAACAGTGTAAACATTAGCTTGTTTGTCGGGCAACAAGTGTAATTAATCTTTCAAAAAAATTACTAGGAAAATTCTTAGGCTTCTGACTCAACGAGGTTTCCACGGCTGAGGACGTCATCGCTAGCGATCACCAAGTTGTGCATGTGGTGGATGGACTGTTTACTGCGTGCAGTGAGTGCATGACGCTAGGCGCTTGCGCAGCGTGAAGCACTAGCAAGTCAGCTGTCACACAGTGAAGTTCTGCACACTTTGCTCGGAAACACGGCTCTCAAAATGGCACCATTAAGCTTCAGATTTTGCGGAGTAACCTCAGCCTCCATGCGCCTTGGACCAGGTGAGTGTTTCAGACCTCTTAGGAGGTTTCGAAAAATGAGTCTAGGCCTAACTGGTTTCTGCTGTGAAACAGGGACTTCTTTGGAGGGTGAAGTTCGGGAGTGCGATGACCGTCACGCGTGACGAGTCCTGATCGCAACCGGCGATCCATTGTACAGAAGTTGCTTAACTTTAGACCAATGGAAACCTTTTCCTGCCTATACTATACCGTCGCTCTGGAACCAGTGATTGGGAAATTATGGCTCGTGTTTTACAGATTGTCACATGAGGTCGGTTTTCTTGACAGGCCTGATGTTTTTCGGTGACGCTGAAGGGAAAAATTTGAGGCTGTGTGTGTAACTTTAGTTTGTCGATTTTAAGGTGGGCCTTTCGTTGGGGTTGTGGTCGCTCGGGCCCTCGTCGCACCATTGCTGAGAGCCTACGTGGCCTACGTGCCGCAGAAGAGGGCAAACTCTCTCAGTGTCCGTGCTCAGTTCAAGTTCTAGCCTTGGGAAGTTAGGTACAAAACTACAAGCTATATTCTAAACTATTTTGGCAACTGACTGTATAAACATGAAACGTGAACAACCAGTATGGATCATTTAAAATCATATCTCCGTAAAAATCTTTATTTTTAAAATGTCGGATTTGCCTAACTAATTAGTGAAGCTGTAAATGTGTAGTGTTTCTGTTATGTGTGCGTATGATACCGGTACCTGTATGAAGATAGAACAAAGAAGTGGCCAGTGCAAACTGCACATCAGTTACCTTTGGCTTTATGTGGGACAAGAAAAGAAGAAAATATTCTATTTCCAAGGAAGTATTCTTGATCTCACATGATCTTGAAACGGTAACAAATCTTATATGAGACATGATGTTGCTGTTTTTGTTGTCTGTTTCAGGATTAAAACTTGAATAGACTTTATCAAGCAAATTAAAGTAATCAAGAGAGAATCACCTACTAAAAATGCCAGGAAACAAGGGAATTAATTTGAAGCACAAGTAAACTGTGCTAGGAAAATAAGAAAGCATAGAAGTTGGATGTGAATACAATGTGAATAAATTTCTGAAAATTTGTGAAAAATGTAACTTAAACAGGTATCATCTCCTGGTTCCCAATCCCAGTAAAAATCAGTAATTTTTTTTGTATGCATTTTCTGTTTGTTTATCAGCTACATGTATTATCTGTTCCATTATTTATGAGGTTATCGTATTGTTAATGTATGCAATTGTATACGTTCTGAGAAGTGAAATTTTTAAAAAAGAAAAAAAAGAAAAAAAATCCAAATGGCGAGAAGCAGACTGCATGAAAAATGCAGGGTCTAGTGTGCGTTCAATTTTCCATTGAAAACAGGAGAGCGAAACCAGATATACCCTGGTGTACTCTCAGCAGCTGTCCCAATTAATTATAAATGTCCAGTGTCAAAAGGGTTCGCTGTCTTGAACTGAAAGAGAAAGAGCATTCTCCCAACACGGTTAACACCTGAACTGTATGTTGTGTGTAAAATCAAGGTGTGTACAATATGTGAATTGTCTGCCATTTAAAGTGTCCTTTGAAAAAAAATGTATTTGGTATCTTAGCCATTAGCCATACCTGACATTTCACTTGTTGAGGTCAAGTCCATTTTCTCATTCTTGTGTGTGTGGTTCAAAACCCCCTGTCTGAAGATGTGGTCTTAGCACAAGACTTTACCTTGTATCTCTTCTTCACTACAGTGGTTCTATGTTCCGGAAGTCAGTGACTTTAGTCAGCACTAAGCCTTTTAAAATAGGGTGATTTGGCTTAAAATGTTTGGAAACAGAATGTCCAATTCTGTGAAATCAGTCTTATGTTTTGACAAACTCTCTACAAGGGGGGGGGGAGTTGATGTCCAAAATGGATTGCGTTCAGGGCACCCAAAAGACACCTAGCTGCTGATCCTTGGCGATGGTCTATCACAATGAATCCCAAATCTGGTCTCAACTCACAAGTCATTCACACAGTCTTTCATCCAGTAACTTGAGTAAGACTGAACGGTGACAGAAGCATGAAGTTTATTTTGAATAGTTTGGCTTGACTCCAGTTGTTGTGTTGTTGGCTTGTGATTGACGTGTGGCTACATCTGCCTTGATTATAACTTGTATTTCACAGAAGATGCTTCACATTGAATGATAAGGGATGTTGTGTATCATGAGCAAAGAGCGTGGAGAGATGTGGTTGTTCAAAAACAAACCCTACATGCATGCATACATGTACATACCTGGTACGTAGCCGTTTTGCATGGCTACTGCAGTGAAAGCCAGACCTTAAATAACACAAGATATTACATGTATTTCTGTCTCTTGTTTCTCATCACCCTCAAATTAGAATGCGGGAATGCTCCTGAATTCGTTCCTGTGTAATTTTGTCTGAAACAGAACTTTGAAAGGGCGGGTGTATGAATTTGCTTGAGAAATGTTGTCGGCAGGAGCAAAATGTACAGTGTACATGTACATGTATGTATACAATGTCCACGGGCACAACTTTGTATGGACTGTTTTACTGTGTACAGTGTGTAGGCCTAGGCCTTGTACTGAAAATACTCAGCAGGTTAATTGGTGTGCTGGGAGTTTCAGGAGGAGTCACAGCTTTGTTCCTGCAGATTTCCCGTATACTTTATCCCCCCCCTCCACTTCGCATGTTGAACTTCTTCCGAAGTACATGTACATACAACGTCATTTTAAATTAACTTGCTTACAACAGCTTTGCATTTGTTCACTGGTGTAACTTTCATTTTGGGTCATTGGAAAAGGTTCCGCCCAGATTCATCCATTGATCTCATGCTTTCATCATTTCTCCGAAGTGAGAAAGTGAAATGCTGGGTAGTTGTAAGCCTCTCCCGGGAGAGAAATAAAGACCTCTGTGGGTGTGAGATCCAAACACCCAGCTCACAGTTTGAAAGTTTGTTGGTCTCTGATTTCCGAGAAACAAGGGGGGAGTTTCCAGGAGGTCAGTAACCTAGCACTTCATCACACATACAGGCCAACATCCTGTTAAAGTGGACCCTGTGCTGTTTGTTTAAGTCAATCACAGACACCTCAGTTTCTGTGTCCTTTCTCTATGGTTTAACTGGCACCCAGTCGGGGGCTGTTGTCTGGGCATTATGTTCAAGCACGGAGGAAGGAACAGAAGCTTGGTTCAAGTTGGTGTTTCAAATTAAAAGGGGCATCAATGATGATATTGAAATTGCTGTTCATTTACATGTACATTTTATATATATGTACTACCTGTGCATGTACCCCTTTTGCAAATGGAGGAAGGAATCAAGGATTATGATGAGTGTGTGTTACTGTTGACTCATAATGTAGGCCTACATGTATACATGTACAGCGGCAGCAACATCTATGGAACTGCTGTAGGATTTACATACCTGTACACACATGTACATTCATGTCATTTGAATTTGAAAGGAATTAGGTATTTTCACAGAAATGAGAAATGTTTACACCTTTGAAATGGGAAGACCACTGTTACATGTCTTTGGGAAAAATGCCCTGTCCTTTACACAGAGCTAGACTAATACATTATTTCTGGGAGTGGTTGACTTGAAGGGTCCTGTCTGTGGCTTATACATGTACATGGTCATAGACTCACAGTACATGTAGCTCCATGGTACATCTATGTTTTAAGTTTCCTGAAGTCTTATCTCAGATCATGGCAGCCCTAAAACAATAGGCCTTATTATTTGTAATCACTCTCTGGAGTCAGTGGGTGAATGGATAAAATTAAAACACCTGAGACCCATTTTTTGGACATGTAATACTGTAGGGTTGGGGTGTACAGGCGTGTCATACCCATACAGGTACAAGTGTGGACCTTTTCACAAAAGAAGTCCACATAATGCATGGTATGATGGCATTGTGTGGACTTGCACGCGTCCACATAATGTTTTCCCTCTCTGAAAATCAGTTTGACTTTCAGAGGCGTTTTGGGGTCAAGGTTATCTGTCTTAATATGAAGAGGAACATTCCATTAAATCATCATCAAAAATCCAGCTGGAAGGAGTTATCCAAGTGGGAGAAAAAGGAGCATTTACCTGAACCACAGGAGAACAAAGGAATGTCCACACTTCATATGTAAAACAAGTGACACAAGTGACAGTGTCTCAGTGCATGCTGTAAGCCCTGAAGGGGATCAGTGCAATCTCCATGACCAATGCATCCTGCAATGTGCATCAACTACCTGTTACTTAGTGTTCTGCCAGCAGATGTCAAGTCATAAATCATCAGTGCCAGAGACTAACAACATAAGTGCCACTGCCCCTGCTGCATAATGAAGTGCACAGATTTCCTTAGGGAATGTAGGAGGACCTGTGGAGTGTCCTTCACCACACTGGCCTGTACTGGAAGATCTTATTGAACATGTTGAAAGGGTATTTTACTTAAATGACATTTTGAAGAAAATTTTGAGTCTACATGTATACAGAATTCCAGTAATGCATCCTGCTACTCATGTACATAAATGCTTCCAACTGATAATGGAAATTGCCTTCACTCATTTTGTAAAAAATACATACTTTTTGTTGTATGGTTAGTTAATCTGTTAGTTAGAGCATGGAGAAATTGTGTTTTAGTCCTCCATGGTTAGAGGCCGTGTAAATGAGAAATGAAGTTGAAAACAAGTCATTCTACAATCATCTTCTTTTACATGTACTTTTAGAATAACGGTAATTCAGACTCACTGATTTTCAAATTAGTTACCTTTAGGATAATCCTCACATGTTGTTCCCTTTCAGTGTTAAGGTTAGGGTTGTAAAAAATGGCGTGTACCGGTATATTGGGTTTTTCAGTGTCAGAGTCACATTGAACAATACCGCTGTGTAATTTCAGATTTCACACCCTCACCTAACCGGTGCTGTATCTGAACATTACTTTTGCAGTAAGCTTGTTCATTTGCAAATGGCGTACATCTACATGTATGATTGTCCTTCCACACTGAAGGAGTAAAACAGTAAGCCATAGAATTGGGAATATCAAGCTACTGGTATTTAAGGAATGTGCTCTATGCAAATGTACCAAGAACTTTGCTTTCCAAGCAAATTTTACAAGATAGTTTGCTTGGAATGTTACATGTACATGTATGTACATGTACATGGACAGAAAGCATGTTTATTTTGATAGAAACTCATTGTACATGTACCCAAACATTGTGCTTTTTAAGTCCGATCCCCACAGCAGTGTTATCCATTAAAAACCCAGACAATTCACTGAATATTTAAGATTGCGTACATGTACGGTGTTTTGTCCAGAATGTTACTCACATAACATAGCAAAGAGTTGTCACAAAATTTCTGCCCATGTGGAAGGCCTACATGTACGGTACCCTATGAGTGCCTTAAAGACCAAGAAAATGGAGCTCAGTTTTGCTGGTTGTTGACGGTCCTCATAGGCTAAATATAAGATGAAATTTGACAGTAAGTGTCCCGTCAATTTGTGGCAAAAATGACATCCATGTTACATACCGGCCCATAATTCTTTTCAGTATTTTCTGAAGTACAGAGAAATTCCTCCATAACATTTGTACACATTGTTAATCACTAGGCCTGGGAGTGTGCAGGGAAAACGGAACGAAATACATGTACATTGTATCTTGCTGTGCCAAATTCTCCTGATGCAGTGTTCTTTCAAATCCCAAATGTGCTACCAGTTGCATAAGTTTAGAAGTGCCCACGTGTACATGTACATGTACTTTAAGTTCTCAAATAAAGCTCTCGGTGTGCATCAATAACTTGGATGTATTGAAATGGGGAGGGGATGAAGCCTGAATATTGGACTCAAAGCCCTTTTCCTCCCCCCCAAAAAACCCATCTTCATTTCAGGTTAGTGCATTTCTTAAGCCATTGAAATGCACAGCCTAGGTCTTTTTTATTGGAAGCAGTTTTAGATATCTCAGGTAGCTTTTTTCACCAACATCGTGTCAAAACATTTTTTTTTTAGAATGTACCTGTACACGTGAATGTAGCATCTAAACCATTTTGAAATCAGCGGCAAGATTTTAAAGCTTTGTAGCTAATTTTTAAACATGGCGGGATAGAGGCAGCACTTGTTGGCCTGCCTGGTTACTTTTTAAGGTTGGAGGACTCTGACTTCAGTACATCAGAGTTTTTTTACCAGGGATTAACTGCATAAACCGGTATTATGCAAAATTTGCTGAAGGGGTTGTTAGTCAAAGGGACCGCAAAAATGTACATGTACGTAGCCATGTTATGATGCACAGTCTGAGCACTCTGCCAGGTTCTGTTTAGGAGACTAGTTGACAGGGGAAAAAATCAATGTCTGCCCACACTCATGCGTAGATGCCGTGATATGCACACATGTTGGGGGGGGTTTGAGATACAGTAAGTTCAGAAATTACATGTGCGTCTGGAACATGTGCAAAGTTTTGAGAGTACATCAACACCAAAACAGATGGCGGTCGGGACATCCCCAGCTGTCCCAACCAGGCTTTTACACTGGCGGCAGTTACATACATGTCTGCTCATCCTGACTGATTAGTCAGTGTGTGTAATGCATTCTCAACCTAAAACTCACCTACAATTCCGCTTAAGGTGTCTTGGTGCGTCAAAGCTTTTGCTGTGTTTATTCAAACTTGGCCTGACCATGGCCTGACATGGCCTCCTTTTTTCAGTCCATGACGTCTTGTCTGAAATTATTTGGTAATTGACACTTTGAACAGAAATGATTTGTTTAAAATTGCATTCTTGAGTTCATAGTCAACATGTTTACACAGGTTGGCAAATGGAGAAAATGGCCAGCCTATCCCTCAACAAAACATGTGTCACGTGTTTACACTTGAATAACCATGTCATCATCATAAAACAGCTCACTGGAAAGACAGACTTGTTAGCACTGATTGATGAAGTCCTGTGATTATTGGCAGACCACTGGGCAATGTAAACAGTGTATTCCAGAGTTGGCCTTTCACCCTGTGGGTAAGAAAGAAGTCAGGTGACAACCCAGATTTACCAATCCAATTATGCACCTGGAATTAAATAAAGTAGCAGTTATGGTCCACAAGCAAGCAAATTCAGTAGGAACATATACTGTGACTGCTTGATGACAATCACAGAGATTGAAGAAAGTGTCCACCACCACTGTGGTTTCACTTCACGTTAAATAGACTTCTTTATCTTTACATTTAACTACTTTTCATTTTCAGTAAACAGCATGATTGATGTTTGTAAATCCTGTTGCCCAAGATTTCAGGCATTTTTTGTTCACGAAAGGCTGGAAAATTCATACTAAGATTCAATTTGAAAATTTGAAAGATATCGCAAAGATAAAACAAAATAAAAACAACAGCCCAAAACAAAACTTTTTAAAGAGTTTGTCTTACAGGTGAACGACAAATTTATACCAAGATTAAATAAGAAAATTTGAAAATTGCCGTTCTTGTCATGTTACAAAGGCGAAAGTGTCAAGGGTCCATGGATAAACTGTAAGAAAAATTGGTGTTTGGAAAATATATGCGTAAACATCATTGTTGGCACATGCTCTGTTTGTTCATGCACGTGTACCGGTACGTGTACATGCGGTTGTTCTGGAGCTCCCAAGAGTGCTGCAAATGAAGTGGTTGCATTTTCATTTCCCTTACCAGCAGCCATAGAGCTGTAATATATACAGCCTCCATGCTGAATTTCATTTCATTAGGCTCAGTAATTTATTTTGTTATACTCGAATGCTTTCAGTGATAAATTTGGTTTTTTGGGGGGGGGTCCGAAAAACATATTAAGCTGAAGCAGTACTGAAAAAAAAAAAGGCTGGAATTTTTTTTTTAGGTGCAAATGACAAAGTTCTGAAAAATCATCTGTTTCTCTTAATTTGTCATTGATTGTTTTAGAGATTTGTCATGTACATGTATTATACTTGTACATGTATGTGTGTTTGAAAACAGCTGAGAGGAAGTGTATAGAAGCCATCAACTGACTTGCATTGTTCTTTCTGTATGCATAAAAGCAATTTTTGTCTGACACTGTATTTATAAAATTGGGTATATTATCTCAACATTGTTGCTTTTGCATTTTGTATTACAGTATAGAAGGAAGAACAAAATTGTGCACTAAACATCCAAGTTATGTGTTTGATTACCCTTTAATGTTGTTTTGATTTTATATTGTCCCCCAGCATTGTGTCTTCTGGTGCTTCTTAACATTGTGGGATCTTCACATGTAGCTGGACAAACTCCAACGGGCACAACGACTGGTAGCGATGGTAGTATGACACCTGCAGGGGCAGAAACAAGTGTAGCAACGTCGGTGCCAACTACAGCAGCCTCTGTGGATAGCGATGGGCAGGCCACAATGGGATCCACAACCCTTGCAAGCCTGCAGGAATCCACCGCCTCACTGGCTGATGCGGGGAGTACCTTCTCAACAGCTCAGCTGGCTACCAGTGACTCAGTTGCGAGTACTGCTGCTGGGAGTGCAGGGGGATCCACACAACCCATGAGTGCTTGGAATGGTACAACACCAGAGACAGAAGGGCCCCAGGAGACGATGCAGCCTGACATGTCAACGTCAGTCAGTGATGCCGGTGTCACTAATGCTGGGGACTCACAAGTACCGTTAGCTACAGAGTCTGTAACCACTGCAGCGGCATCAGTTACAGTGGCAGCAAATGAAGGACCACGTGATGACATACATGAAGTTGGTGGGCCTGGGATTATCACTGTGGCAGCATTTACCACAGCAGCGGCAAATGAACTGACACCAGATGGAGGAAACACAGCCCCAGGTTCTGTGCCTGAGAGCACCTCTGCGGCAATATTTACCACAGCAGCAGCAAATGAACTGACACCAGATGAAGGAAACACAGCCCCAGGTTCTGTGCCTGAGAGCACCTCTGTGGCAATATTTACCACAGCAGCAGCAAATGATCTGACACCAGATGGAGGAGACACAACCCCACGTTCTGTGCCTGAGAGCACCTCTGCTGCAATATTAACCACGGCAGCAGCAAATGAACTGACACCAGATGGAGGAAACACAGCCCCAGGTTCTGTGCCTGAGAGCACCTCTGCTGCAATATTTACCACAGCAGCGGCAAATGAACTGACACCAGATGGAGGAAACACAGCCCCAAGTTCTGTGCCTGAGAGCACCTCTGTGGCAATATTAACCACAGCAGCAGCAAATGAACTGACACCAGATGGAGGAAACACAACCCCACGTTCTGAGCCTGAGAGCACCTCTGTGGCAATATTTACCACACAAGCAGCAACTGAACTAACATCAAATGGAGGAGACGTAAACCAAAGTACTATACCTGAGAGGCAAGACACTGACACAGTTGCCACTGCAGTGCAAGTATCTGTAGATATGAGCACTTCAAGCACAGCACCACCCACATCCTCGGAAGTGACACCAGGTGCCCCTGAAACTCCCATGGTTTCTGGAACGGATTTCTCTAGCATGGCTCAGGCAACAGGATCTTCAGATGGTCCTGGTACAGTTGCTGTGACACCCGCTTCTCATTCAACACAATCACAAGAAAACACAGCATCACCAGCTGCCTCTACGGAGCCTGCAAGCGCCGGCAGCACACAGTTGGTAACAATCGAAGCACAAACAACAGCAGCATCTCCGACAACTGAGGTTGCAGCATCCATGCCAGTTGCCACATCTGCACCTGTTGTCGATGGCACCATTGGGTATTCTGTGGGATCCACACCTCCTTCTGCAACAGCACCAGCAGCAGCCCAAACAGGTGAAAGCACAACAAGTGGCAGCAGCCCGGAGACGACATTTACTGTGTCTGAAACTCCATCAACTGTGCAAACTGTGGATAGACATACGACAGGTTGGCCTGTAAGTACAGCCGTAGCAACCAGTGCTGAAACCGGCCTGCTTAGTACCCAAGGACCATTATTTGTTTCCACAGCAGATACCAGTGCCGCTGTGACACTTCCGTCAGTTGATTCGACAACAGCAGCCATGTCCCCGAGTCCCATCCAAGTTGAAAGTACTTCAGAAGTTTTAACAAGCGTCCAAAGACCTGTAGTAAAACCTTATCAGAACACAACAACAACAGCCTTTTTAACTGATGATGGCACATCCCCCTTTGCAGCATCTACAGTTGTCCCAACTGAAGCACTTTCAGCAGTAACAAGTCAACTACCTGCAGAAACAACCCCACCATCTGCAAAAACAACCCTACCACCCGCAGAAACAACCCTACCACCCGCAGAAACAACCCTACCACCCGCAGAAACAACCCTACCACCTGCAGAAACAACCCTACCACCTGCAGAAACAACCCTACCACAAACAGGAACAACTCAACTGCCTGCAGAAACAACCCTTCCACCTGTAGAAACAACTCAACTGTCTGCAGAAACAACTCAACTGCCTGAAGAAACAACTCAACTGTC